CGAGCTCCTCTTGGAGTCCATCTCTTGAAAATGAGGCCTTCTTCTCCTCCTTGGCATTCCCATTGCTTGAGTGAAGACTGTGTTACGTCTCCGAGTGCGCATTAATACATGTTGGTCTCCAAATACGTGTTAGTCCGTGTTGACTTACCCTTGTGTGCAGCAGGTGTGGGGATCAGACCTGGGAGGACATTCTGATCAAGGAAGGCTTGATGCTGCTGCTGGGAACTGTTTGCCTTACAGCATTTTTCCTTCACATCACAACTAAAATATCACAGCCACCACCAATGTCGGTGTTTCTCCTGTGCTGGACTGTGAGGGCCTTCCTCCCCTGCCATTGTTGTTGTTTCAGTGTCTTACCTATTTATCAGCTACAGAAGTCCTCCTGCTGCAGTCTGGCTCTCCACACACTGGGATCAGGACACTCAGTGATCTGCATGTAAAGCAAACCTTTAAAGCTTTCTCTCCAATGAGAAAACCTATAATCTGGGCAGAACCCAGGCAGGTCAGGACCTCAGGGCTGCAGTGGGAGGACGAGGGGCTGGCAGTGCCATTCCTCCTGTCATCACAAGGGGCCTGTGCTACCCAGCACTTTGCTCAAGCCTCCGCTCATTGATGGAGATGCTATGCAGCCCCTTGGTTCTGCTTCATAACCCAAAAATGGTCCCAGCCTTCACTGGGGACCAAGAAACGTTTACAAACCCAACCTGAGTGCATCCTATGGACTTCAAACTCGGGGGGAAATAAAATGTTCTCAACAAGTTCTCAAGTGGGCATTATTTTAAAGGCTGCCACTTGCAAATAATCTTGTGGTTGCATAGGTGGATAGCCTCCTCCAAAGAATCCCAAACACCACGCTCAGGCAGCATTTCCATTCCATGCTCTTTTCGGCAGCTGCATTCACTCCTACTATTTAGCAGCTAGCCCTACATCAGCTCTGCTCCCACAGCACAAGCTCCAAGGGTGCCCATCCCACTTCTGGGCCCATTTGTGCTACTGAAAGCTCCAAAAAGCCCCATGGGCAGTGCATGGGTTGGAGCTTTGCCCTCTCGGATCAAAGCACTGGCAACAGCGGTGCCAAAAACACTTGGAGAATTACTTAAGTCGATGTAGGCAGAGGGTTGGGGCTTTTTTTTGATAAAAAACAGGCTGATTGATAATTGGATGCACATTTCCAGCCTGTGCAACACTTCTGGCAGAACATAAGCAGGCGGTGTTTCTCTGTAGCTGGAGCACAGCAGAGGGACAGGCAGAACGTGGAGAAACTCTTTGCTGTGTACTGCACACCGAGGGCGGGCAGCATGCACACATTGCCCCCCAGTTCACACTGCCCCCCACTTGCCCAAATCCCTCACCAGAACCCCCAAGAACAACAAAACGAAGGGTTCTGCCTGCTTGTTTGGAGAGGGAAAAAGGATTTTTAGGGCTGAAGATGCGTGCATGTTGGGATGGACCATGAGGTGGACCCCAGTGAGCGCTCTTGGCCCTGGATGAAGGCAAACCTGGCCACAGCTGCTCCATCACTACTGTGAACTCACCACTTCCTTCCCAAAGAAAACAGGAGAAAGAAAGCAAAACCAAAACTGGCAGCAGTCTGTCACATGCAGAGAGCAGCAGTTGCTCTGGGGGGCAGCCCTGCCTGCACTGCGGCTCACAGAGAAATTCAGCAGCAAGAAACCCTTGGGGGCTACGTGCATGGGACTGCAATGATTGTGCTGCTGGTGGTACTAGAGAAAGAGCTATAATAATTTCCTGAGCAGAGAGATGATGGGAGGGGGGACTTTGCTCTTGTACTTCACTCAGCCTATGTGAAAGCTTTTCTTGTTGCTGCTACCGGTTCTGCTCTGGCAGAAGAGGATTTGTTGGGTTTTAACCAAACCTGAGGAAATTCCCTTCCCACGGTGGCTGCTCTGACAGTTTGCTTTGCAGGAGCACAGGAAAAGCTGAAGGTTGGAGAGAAAGGAGAGCAGGGGGTAAGGGCTCAGACTGACAGCACCACGTGGGTGAGCAGCAAAACCGAGCTCCCTGCATTTGGCACTGCATCCCGAGATCCCATATGCAATTAGCTGTGCTACACAAAGACAATGAGTTATTCCACCCGCGTGCCATTAATTATACACCCAACATTCTGCAGCCCTTAAACAAGGACTGCCAGGGCGATGCCTCTTGCACACAATACTTCCAAGGGCGCCGCAGGAAGGGAAGAACAGCTGCTTTTCTGTCTGCTAAAAATACCTTTTCCTGCCTCCATGGCTGCATGCTTCCAGCCCAGCCCCACAACGCTTTTTGGCCTCTGCAGAAGCACTAAGCAGGAGCAGAGCTTGCACCCCCCCAGCCAGGAGCCAGCCTGGGGAGCGCTGCAGCTGGCATGGGAACAAACACACAGACAGGGCTGGAGTGCTGGTGTGACCCAGAAGTACAGGCAGTAGATTTTGTTGCTTTAAACCAAACTGAGATGAGGAGAGGTTTTCCAGACGGGCGTGATTTCATCCAATCCATGGCCAAGTTTTGCTTCATGGGCACAGCCACCACCCTGCAAAGCCCAGGGCAGGGATGTGTACCGTGGTGGCACCAGTTGAGCAACCCATGGCACACAGCACACAGCAGAGGGAGCAGAGCAATGCAGTGCAGCTACAGATCCCTACTCACAGCACAGCAAAATTGCAGAAAATTCCACTGATGCTCACAATTGTGCTGGGACACCCCTCACAATGAGGGTCACTGCCATGACCCAACACAGCCCAGTCCTCACTACACATAGGTAGACTTTCCCAGCAGTAACTGCCATGCCAACCTATAGGGGATTTTTACCTTTTCTTTTTTTTTCTTAAACCATACTTCTCCTAGATAAGCAGAGAGGGAAAAACTTCATTCCCAGGCAGAATTTTTGGCCATGGGATGATGAGAGCAGCTCCAGCTCCTCTTGCACACGTCTGTGTGCCCTTCCTGGGCTCCTCCTTGCTAAGTTGGCACCAAGCAAACCAGCTCATTAGCAAACCAGCTCATTAGCACCTGCCCGGGATGGGAAGATGTGCAGCCACCCCAACTGCAAGCCCTACTTTCAGCTTCTGAAATGGAGAGGAAGGCTGCTGCAGGGCCATGGGGCACTGCCAAAACAGGATATGGTTATGCTCCCAAAGGTGGCTTTGAAATAAAAACCTTATCTGTACAGTAAGTGCTGCCCAAACTCGGGTCATGCCTTCTTATAAACGAGCTGGCTTCTGCGGAAATGAAAGTATAAAGCAAAGCATCCATCGCACAGCTGAGCAGGAAACAAAAATACGATTTTCGGATCCCAGGCGCTGTTCAGGTATGAGGTTTTTTTGGTGCTGCCCCCATTCCCGTCACTTGGCTGGGCTTGAAAGCAGCGCCCAAACCCACAGGATGGGGGAGTGAAGCACCCTGAGCTACAGAGCAGAACTGGCAGCCATGAACACGGTTGCAGGCTGCTTCCCACGCTGCCCAAAACGGGGCAAGTTTTGGGGGGGACATTCAGCAAACCCCTGGGCTGAGGAGCCTGGGGACTGCCAGATCTTACATTACATAGTTTTAGGAAGGATGGAAGAAAAGGGTTTTCTTGCAATCGCTCGGCTCAAAGCACCCTGCAGAGAGCACAGGCAGCTGCCAGGAGGCGCAGTGCACTCAGGGACGTTTCTCACCGCTAAAAGCAATGATGGAAACGTTGTGGGACCTACAAGACCAAAGGAGCAGCTCCCCAGGGCCCCCAGGGCCACAAAAGCAGCAAAACCCAACCCCAAATGCTTTGATTCCAAAAGCAGCAGCAGATTGATCCAACCCTCAGCCCAAGGGACAGCGCTGCGGTGAACACACCACAGTGCTGACAGCTCCCACAGAAGATTAATTATCGTGCATTAAATAATCATCAGGCTTCAAAAGCAATGCTCTGTATATTAGGGCATAGCTGTTCAAACAGCCAAGTGCCCATGTGCTTTGGGAGATGCAAGCCCTGCACAGGGCTGTGCCACCACAACGACCAGAGCGTGTCCCTGTGTCCACCAAAATGACCTGAAGTATCAGTCCTCAACCCTTCAACAATCCTCAGTCCTTCTTGGGGTCATAGAATCACAGAATGACTGGCTTGGAAGGGACCTTCAAACACACCCAGCCCTAAGCTCTGCACTGTGAGCTGGGTGCCCCCCAGCTCAGGCTGCACAGGGCCCATCCGTGGCTATGGGCACCTCAGGGATGGGGCACCCACGCCTTCCCAAGAGATAACTGCTACGACTGCTCACTAATATGACATCACGAAGCACTACAGAGGAAAGCCCTTGCCTGGTGAAGCCTATCCCATTGACTCCAGTGCATCCACATCCAAGGAGATGTCAATTAATGCACATGTTCATTTTTCCACATCACCCCTCAGATCTTCCATTTCTGTATTTGCCTTCAACAGGAGGAAAGAATGCTTAAAGAAACACAGAAGTGAGCAAATGCTTCTACATTTTGTAATGAAAGTGTGTGAACACTCATCCCCACAGGGCAGGTTTGTGCTGGGCGGTGGTGAGCAGGGTGACACAGGGAGAGCAGCCCCAACCCACATTCTTGTGGTAGAGAAGGAAAAAAGAGCAAAATCATCTCATATGAATCAGGAAAAGACTACTAGGATCCCCAGCTCAATTCCAGCACACACCACCATGCCATCACCATGTCCTTCATTGCCACATCCCCATGGCTCTGGGGAACCTCAGGGATGGCGACCCCACTGCTCCCTGGGCAGCCTGCGTATCACTGCTCTTTCTAAGAACAAATTTTTCCTCATATTCAACATGAAAAGACGAGAGAACACAGCTCTCAGCCCCATTAGCCCCGTGCCCTTGCTGCTTCCAAAACCCACCAAAAGCAGCATCGCTTCCGCTAGAGCACTTGACCACATACATAAATAAATGGAGGGGAAAAGGAAAAAGAAAAAAAAAGACAACCACTTACCATGCTGGGCTCTGCCCTGACACCACAGGCAGCAATGAGCCCTTTGGGGAGGGCCCTGCGCCGGCGCAGCCTGCACGCCTGCATTGAGATTGCACTTTTGCTTTGAGAGCCGAGAGCGGTGGGAGCGCAGCCGGGCACCGTGGGTCTGCCAAGGTAGGAGCACGCTTTGGTCAGGCTCATTGCTGGGGTCTGTTGTGCTTTTCTTAGTGCCAGGTAGATCATGGAATGGCTTGGGTTGGAAGGGACCTTAAAGATCGGCTAGTTCCAACCTCTCACGGAGGTGACTTTGCGCCGCTTGCAGTAGGAGAGGACAGGGGATGCTGAGCAGTAGGGCACCGTCAGAAATCTCCAAAGTTAAGTGACTAAAAGCAAGGAGACTCAATGGTAAAAATTAGGGGAAAAAAACATTCTTCTGTGCTTGCTGTGCCTTGGGGAGGCTGCTGTGGGGAGGGGTTGGAGCGCACACTGTGGGAACAGCAGCTCTGCTCAGCCAGGGGCACACGGCTGTGTCCCAACACTGTGTGCCAGCAGTTTGGGTGGAAACCTCACAGCTTTGGTGACCAGCTAACCACAGCACATCAGGGAAAGGAGACAGGGAAAGGGGCTCCAGGCTGAACCCCAGCACTCCCTCAGCGTGCTTTTACCACTTCAAATGCGGATAAATATCAACAAGGGAGGAAAAGAGCTTGGGCAAATGGCTAAGAGACAAAAGCAGAGTATCTCACTGAGAACTGAGGTATTTACGTTTTCGTGCACATCAGTGGGACTTACCCAGCTGAAATCCCCCTGCCTGCCCAGCTGCTGCTCCTGGGGCAGCCCCAGTCAGTGCTCCTGGGATGGAGTGTCCTGATCCTCCCCAGAAGCAGTTCCAGGGGTGATGATGGGGTTACAGTCAGCCATGGGGGCTCCTCACTGCTTGACCTGGCAGCCCAACCATTTCCAGCACTGCAGGGGTGGGGCTGGCAGCACTCACACACTTGGGGCATGAGCAAATGAGAGGTTAATGAGGAGCAATGGAAGGAAACCTCATTCAGCTGTGCCAATGCCCCCCAGCCCTAACCTGTAGTCTTGGCTCTCACTGCTCCTCTTCTGTAATGAGCACTCAGCACTTGAGTGACTCATGTTTCGAGCAACCACAGGCGATGATGAATGGGCAGCTGCTCCAGTGCTCTGCAACTGAATCAAACAGAACAGCTGTATCTGCCTTGAAAACAGACAAAACAGACGGTTAGCAAATATTTTATGACAACCCAAAGCAGGGTGGGTGCTCAGCTCAGAAGAGATGCTGCATGGGGTGGTTGCTCCAGAGGCTGCTGGTAACCTGGGCGGGGGCACAAAGCTCTGCTCCCAGTACAACTCTGGGGTGGGGGCTCACCTGGCTCCAAGTACATCAACATCACTGGGATGGCCAAACACATGACGATCTGAGGAAGATGGCCAGCAAAAATACATTGGCTTCTTTGGTAGCATCTACAAATGGGAGAAGGAAAGAGATGCACCTGCCCGGCTAACAGTGAGATGCAGGACTGCCTCTGGAGAAGATGTAAACCCAAAAAGTCTACCAGCAAACTGGCTGCAGAGAGAGAGTATTCTTTTTTTTTTTTTTTTTTTCAAAACCTAGAAGCAGTTGTACTTAATTATGAGATTATATTTTGATAACTTCTGCTTGTTACTCATTAAGTACCAACAAGAAGCCTCCATCCAGCATCCTAAAGTGTCCGACTGTGGGGACTACTGGCAAAATGAAGAGGGGGCAGAAGCCGGGGAGGAAGAAGGAAGTCATGCCTCACCCCCACCACAGTCTGAGCTGCCGTGAACCAAAATTTCCCCTTTCTGCAGCCTTTGTTTTTTTTTTAGCCTCTGGCCTCTTTGTGCACAGCGCTCTGCCTGAAACACTGTGCTCAGCACTGTGGCTGCCGGGATTTCCAAGGAGCAGTTTCTCACTGCATCAGGGTCCTGTGGCTGCAGAGCATCCCCCAGTCCTGGGTGGGCAGCAGGAAAGTCCCTGCGCACCCACAGAGGGACCCTGAAGCTGTTTGTCCCATTGGCCGTCTGTTCCTCCTCCACGTGATGCTGAACCCCAGAGGTGCTGCTGGATCTGGTCCCATCACCCTCCTGCTACTGGTGCCACTACAGCAGGCAGCAATGGGAGTCCCCAGCTCCCCACCCATGGTGAGACACCCCTGTAACTCACAGATTACTCACACTTCTGGAATTAATCATTGCTGATGGTCAACTTCAGAGCTAATAAAAGTATTGAGAAGTCTTTGGAAAACAAGCCCACGACTCAGTGCTGGCAGCTTCTGGAGTTAATGTGATTACTGCCCATGGTTACACTGGATGTTGGCTCCCTGGAAAAAGAAACATCTCCATCTCATTGGGCTCATCGTGGTGGTACAAACAAAAGCGACACAGAAAGCTGCCCCTGGAACTGTTTCCTTTTGCAGGTTTTCTCATTTCATCACCCAAAGCAACAGTACAGCCACACTGATACTTGCTAGATGTCAGCTTTGTTGGCAGACATGTATTTTAGCACAGGAAGAAGCACCGCACAGCACAGCAGGATGCAGTTCTATAGCCATGTCTACTGCACCCACGTGGCACCCACGCTGTTCCCACTCTAGTGCTTCACAGTGAAGCAAAAGCCAAACCAGAGCAACGTGGGTCAGAGGGCTGAACTCCCTCTGTATTTATAAGATCTGCTTGTTGGGGTTTTTTTTGGTTTGATATATTTAGGTAAGGTCAACTGCTCACCATGCAAACAAGTTTTAAATGAAGCCCACCCACTTGCTCGATGCGGAACCGATACCTGGGATTTCCAGTGGTGATGCTCGCCAGGTGGCTGAAGGAAAAGCTCAAAAAAGCCACAGGGAGAGAATCAGATTCACTGCCCTGAGAGCACTCAGGTGGCAGAAAGTGGCTGACAGGCACTGGGGCTGCAGAACCAGCTCAGAGCCCCAGTCAGTCCTGCAACACCAGGAGCTGCTGCCCGCGCCCTGGTTTGCAATGGTGATTGAACCCATGTTCTGCTCACTCTTTGGGTGCTTGGCACGTGGTTGCATGCAGTGCTGGGTGGGTGGTGAGGAGCTGCCACCAGATGCCACCCATTGGGTTTTTGTTATGGGCAGAGATGTTCCCTGGTTTCTGCCCATCAACGCAGTGCTCCAACCACATCTTTGTCTTTCAGCTTCTTCGAAGGAGGGTCTGCAGTGCCCAGCGTGGGTACAGACTGGCACTGGGCTGCCCGCTGCTTCAGCTGGCAATGATGGATTTCCACGTGGGATCTCACGTCGTCCAGCACTGCCAGCAGCTGCACTGACATCGGGCAGCCTCTGAGAACACAGCAGCACAGCTCGGACCAATGCACAAAGCTCCTGGCCAAGGGCATGGGGCAGTTGGGTCTCTGAGCCTCACTCACCAGCACTGGTGGTGGAGGGCCTTAAACCTTTTGATTTCAGCCTCAGGTCAACACAGTGAGGATGATGTCACCGCATTGGAGCATCGACCCCACACACCAACACGGCCACAGCAGCAAAATTCATGAAGAGCAAAGGCAGATGGTGCCTGGAAGGAGGGGAAGCAAAGTTTTGGGGCAGGGGCAGCACTGAGCTCGCAGACCCCGACACACACTAGGATTGGGGCACTGGGGCCATGGAGAACAGCTCCAACTGCTCCGCCAGCACTGACCTGAAGCTCTACTACGCCATCACATATGCATTCATCCTCATCCCTGGACTCATAGGAAACGTGCTGGCTTTGTGGGTTTTCTATGGCTACATGAAAGAGACGAAAAGGGCCGTGATATTTATGATCAACTTGGCCATCGCCGACTTATCACAAGTTTTATCCTTACCCCTGAGGATTTTCTACTACTTGACCAAGACGTGGAAGTTTGGAGGAGGCCTCTGCATGTTCTGCTTCTACCTGAAGTACGTCAACATGTACGCCAGCATCTACTTCCTGGTGTGCATCAGCGTGCGCCGCTTCTTGTTCCTGATGTACCCCTTCCGATTCACGGACTGCAAGCGTGTCTGCGATGTGTACATCAGCATCGTGGGCTGGGTGGTGGTGTGCGTTGGCTGCCTGCCTTTCCCCTTGCTGAGGCTCACTCAGAACACCACCAACGAGTGCTTTGTGGACCTGCCCGTGCAGGAGGTGGACCTTCCCACCTCCATCATCATGATGACCATCGGGGAGCTGGTGGGCTTCGTGACGCCCCTGCTGATCATCCTGTACTGCTCCTGGAAGACGGCCTTATCGCTGAAGGAAAGGAACTCTGCTTCACCAGACCTCGGGGAGAAAAAAAAGGCTCTCAAGATGATTCTCACCTGCGCTCTCGTATTTCTGATCTGCTTCGCGCCTTACCACATCAGCTTCCCCCTGGATTTCTTTGTCAAAACCAAAAAGATTAAGAACTGCTGCACCCAGAAGGTGATCTCAGTGTTCCACGCTGTTGCCCTGTGTCTGGCGAGCCTCAACTCCTGCGTGGACCCAATCCTCTACTACTTCACCACGGATGAGTTCCGCAGGCGGCTGTCCCGGCAGGAGCTGCACGACGGTGCCCCGCTGCACAGCCACAGCCAGCAGCACGCGCAGGACGCACTGCAGGACAGCATCCCTCTGAATGCTCCTAGCCAGCAGTACGCCCAGAGCACACTGCAGGACAAGCCCACTGATTGCTAGCACAGCGCCCGTGGTTTTGGGGTTTGACCAATGATTTCAGGAAGGATTTGAGCTTTAGGAAAAAAAGCCAAGCTTGAAAAAGCCATCGCGCTTTAATATTTCGGTTGAAGATTTGCCCTGTATAAATAACCACGTGTGGTTCCCCATTCCAGAGCTGGGCAGCCAGGAGCAGGACACAGAGCCATGCCACCTGGCCATGTTACGATCACACCAGCACCACACAAGGGGCAGCAGAGATTTAGGGGTTTCCCTATGCAGAATTTGGTCCTAAAAGTGAGCATATGGCCTAGAGGCGTATTCTCCTGAAGCAAAAGGTCACAGAGCAGTGCAGCTCACTTCCATACGGTGCCCAGAGCCCACCTCACTCCATGCTGACTACATACAGGAGCTTAACAGCCTTGCTGTGCCAACAGTTACTCAGGCATCTTTTCTGGGGGTGCACTAGATGACAGTTCCCCAAATTGCAATGCCACTCAAGTGCCCACACACTATTTTTCTACCCTCATTTTGTTCTACCACCAGTTATTTTTCTACCATTGGTTTATTTCTGGATCAGGGTAAGAAGTAGCAGAACACCACCAGCAAAGCCCAAAGCCCTGTTTGTTGCCTGTGACAAGCTTTAAGCATGGACTCCTGCTTCGAGGCTATTCATTCAGGCTCCAGCAAGCCTCCCAGGTCCCTTTTTCCCCTCAAGAATGGCACATGTGGCTCTGCAGCACTGCGCTCCCATCAGCACAGCACTGAGCTCACCCCGAGCCCAGGATCCAACCACTGCAATATCTGAGCAACTTCCTGTAACCTTACACAGGCCAACTCGTGAAGTTCAGGCCCTTAACCCCAGCTTGGCTGAGATGCTGTCAGAGGAACCAAAGCTGTCTGAAGCTGAAAGCAATGGAATCCACTCTTTGTCAAGCCACATAAGAGGCACAGAGACTTATAAAGACATATTCAAGGCTGGGTGGATTTCTAATGGTCATTACTTCCAAAAAATCAAGCAACAGCAGCTTCGTGCTCATCTGGCATTTTGTTTGCACCTTCTTGTAAAATTGTTATGGGAATATTTGAAACGTTACGTTTTGGAAACATAAAAATACTGTGACGATATGAAAACTTTATTTAATGCTAAGGCTGTTTTGTAGATTTAACTTATGAAAACATAAATATTTCATAGAAAAACGACGTGAATCCCATTTCTTTGTTGTTTTAGAACCCTTCCATTTAATAAAAGGGAACTCCACCAGCCTGTGTACTTGCATTCACCACGAATTCACAGAGACCAACAGCACGCTGCCATTTGCTCGTGGCAACAAAACAACTATTTCTTTTCCACCACCTGCCTGCATTCCCTGCAGCACACAGTGAACACTTCCCATTTTCCCTGCTTCCAGCACAGCCCTTAGCCTGCTCTCAGCCCAGCACACATCACCAGCTCCCACAGCAGGGCAGCACCTGCAGCACAGATATCTCACATGCACCTGCAGAAACCCAGCTGGACACGCAGAGCATCTCCCAGAGGATCCAGACACATCAGACACACTTCACTCCAGCATCCACATTCTAAGATAATGCAGTTTTAAGCTTTTCCTCCATCTTACGAACACCCATGCGTTTCAGAGCAGCCCCAAACGGGGCTCTCTTGCCCTCAGCCCATTGGGCTGTGATTGGGCTGGTCCCATTTCAGGCGAGAATGAAACCCCCATGACTGGAAGGGATGAGACCCCCGACCCACACTGGCCGACATCAGCAGCTCCGGATGTGTGGGAGACAGGCGATGGGTGTCAAAAGTTCAGAAATAGATGAGAAAAACTCAGTGTGCTTTGGTTTTCCCACCTAGGAAATACCGTAGGTGGGCCAGCAGCCATGTGGGTTATTCATATCAGCTCCAAGAGTCTCTTCACACAGGAAGTGCTGCGACAGCCTCAGCACTCACGTGAGCTGGGTTCAGGGCGCTGCAAGCTCTGCGACCCCAGCAGTGCTTTCTGTCATGGAATCACAGAATGATGAGGATCAGAAAAGCCTTCTCAGATTCCCACCCCCACTCCACCGTGCCCCTCAGAGCCACATCCCCACAGTTCTGGAACACCTGTGGGCAGCCCGTGCCAGTGCACCATGGCTCTTTTGGACAGTAAGTTGTTCCTAATGTCCAACCTGCACCATTGCTTCTTGTCCTCCATCTCACAGCCTTTACCTGATGCTCTGTGGATACTCGGAGAACTGAGACGTTGCCTTGCATGGGCAAACAGTGAGGCTTGTGCCCAGGGGACGGCTCTGCACCAGCTCAGAGGGATGCTCTGGGTTTCTTCAAGCATCCTCTGCACGGTGCATTTCTCCAGCAGTCCCCATAGAGCTGGGCTGACACCATCCTGAAACAACACCCAGCTCAGTCAACCGCTGCTATGCCAAAAGGAAAGGTCTGTCCCCTTCTTATTTGCAGCATCACATTTCAGGAGAGTTCTCCTTCATGGAGCAATGGAAGGCTCCTTCGTGGATTACTGAAGATATTTTCCTTGCAGGGACATGCAGCTCCAGCTGCAATTGAGCCAAAGCTTCCACAGGGTCAGCTCTGTTTCTGCTTCCCCACGCTTTATTTTTTCAGACTGTTGCACAAAGTTTATTTTCAACTTTGCAGCTTTCATCATCACCCTAAAACACTCCAAACCTCAGAGGAACACGGATGGTTTCCTGGGAAGTTCTGATCTTATCAAAAAAGCTAATTTTCCATTAATTAAAAAAGTCCAGATCCAGCATTTTCCCTGACCTCGTTCCAACACTCCATCTGCAGACTGAGACCTGTGCTCTCCCTGATGCTGCACAGCATCTGCTCCCAGCAGCTGCATCCCACCAGACCCCATCTGTAGCAGTAGCACAGAACCGAGGAAAAGTAGGTTATGTGGGGACCCTGAGCTGCTCAGCAGCAGCACCAAGGTGTGTTCTGCTTTGGGACACAGGGAGCTTGGCTGGGCTGTGGGTCACAGCAAGGCTGTCATCTCACAGTCCCATTCCCACCGCCACGCAGCACTGCCTGCCCCACCTGCAGGAGGTTCCATCACCAGTGCTGTCTTGCTCGGCTTCCTCTGTGTCAGGCACCAGGGCAGAAGCACAGAGGGGCATGCATGGCGAGGCCTGAAGCTGCAGGAAATGGGGCAGCACGCACCTGGGCTATGAATAGCAGGGCTGTTATCCTCCCTCTCAAAGGCCAGTGCTCAGCCAGCAGGAGATGCCCAGTCCAAACGTATCCATCTGGTTGTTAAAGACTACATCCAAAGCAGGACTGGGGTTTTAGCAGAGCATGAATCTTGCTGTCCTAAAACACAGGGAAAGGATCAAGTTGTCACTGCTCCTCCCTGTAAGTGTAAGACAGGAAATGGTTAAGATTACTCCTTCATCCAAGAGGGGATTTGAAACTCTGCTTCCTCGTGCTCTGAAAATGCCTTTGGCTATTCTGTATGAGGACTCCGCTCCTCCCATCAAAGCGGTGGAGAAAAAGAAAAGCTGAGTAGCTGGTGACCAGGGAGCAGACACAGACACAGCTTGTAGTGCTCAGTGCCCTCTGCTCAAAGGGGAAGGCACTTGTTCCTGCTGCAAGCTCTATTTCTGTACCTGACGTCAAACCAACACTGGTTATGACCCAGGAAAATCACCAGCTGCTGGGAGGGGCAGAGGGGGTTTTGGTGGCAGGAGGCACATCCTGCTAAGGGATCTCCATCCTGCCCATGGGAAGCCACTTTGGCACCGTGCACAGATGTCATGAGAGCCTGTGCAGGCTGCAGTGCATTTGGACCTCAAAACAGTTCTCAACCCCAAAAGAGAAAACATCCTTAGTTGGTTCAAAGCTCATGTTCACACACAGGGGTGTCAGCATGAAGCTAAAGAGAGGGAAAATGAAGCCTCTTGGAGGCTGCCTACCTCTACACTGGTTGAGCAGTGGCTGTCGGGATGACAATTCTCAATGCAGTTCTGATGACGCTTCCTTCTCCCCTGTATCCCAGTCCTTTCCCTTAAGCCCAGAATTCAGGACAAAAACAAAACAAAACAAAACAAAAACCACAGCAAAACAAAAGATTAAAAACCAGACCAAATCAAACAGCGAGCTCAGGATGGATGTGATAAACATAACTGACTGCCAATGAGAACTAAAAACTCCTCCACTCTTCTGCATACTCACTTTCCCAGTGGGCTCAACTGTGATCCAAGGACACATCTTGTCAGGGCTCAGCTCGTTGGAGTTCATGGCTTTTAGCACCCAAACCATACAGCCATCCATGGCCTGGTGCAAGCACCCAGTGACCAGCCTCACCTCCTTGCCTGCCCTTCCAGATGTCCTAGCAAAAAGCCCTCTGTGTCAGACTCTCAAGCTCCTGAAGATCTGTCTCTGCTGACAAGGTTCTGTAATCTGCTGGCAGCCCGTGTATCAGCCCTGTGATTGAGTGCCATTACCTCACACAAACCCCATATTACATGACGTAGTCAATATTTAAAGACATGGTGAGTCCTTGTGGTCAGACAGAGGTCTGTGAGCTAAAGAGAAAGTTCCCAGGAGACCTACATAAAACAGAAGCTAACGATCACACAGCTTTAGGTTTCTTGTTTAAGGAGAGGTTTCTTATTTAAGCAAATGAACACTAACCATCAAAGCCTCACATCCCAGCCTGTTCCTGTTGGTTAGCAGACCTTCAGACCCATCACAAGCCCACAGCAGCACCTGCTCCACCCCAGGTTTTCTCTCTACATTTGCTCACCCCTGGACTCTCCCACCAAACAGTCAATGCACCCTGGTTCTGTGGGATTTCCTACAGCACTCACTGGCCTGGGACAGGGCCAAGCTCTATCTGTGTGACTAAGGAAGTATTTACACTCCATCTTTTTGTCTTCTAAGCAAGCCACGTGCTACAAAAGGTTCCAGGAAATACAGTGGCTGCAGGGATGACCTTATAAACACTACTACAAATGCTATCCAACCTCTCAGAAGTAAGAGTCAAGCAGTTCTCCTTTATTGGTAAAAGGGATGTGGGGCAGCTGGCGCAGCCCCTGCAGGGAGCAGAGGATCCCTCTGTGCCCTCTCCTGAGAGCCAAGAGGCAGGATGCTGAACTGGTGCCCAGAGAGGCAGGAGGTAAAGCACTGCCTTGGATGGAGAAGCATGATGGTATGGGGGCAAACAGCTCTGCTGCTCATAGGGGCACCTGCAGGCAACACACAGCCCCAAACTCACAGCATCAGGCAGTGCCCATTTTCCTGAGGCCAGACTCACCTCCCAGGGCACTGTGCCTGGTCCCCACGCTGCCACAAAGCCATCAGCTGGTCTGTGTGTCTGGAGCCTGGCACCAGCTCTGCTCTCAGCCTCCTCTCTGGTTTATGCTCCTTCCTTCAAAGCTGTCCATGATGGAGCCAGGCACTGGCTTTCTGCTCCCTGAGCAGGATGCTCTGCTTCAGCTGCTTTCTTCCTTTCTCTAGGGCACAACAACTGCCTCTATCCAGACAAAAGCAAGCCAGGCACTTGTTTTCCTATTCCAAGTCACTTGCTTCTCAAGGCTCCATACTGCATACCTGGAAGAGCTTAAAATCTTTGGCAATGGATCATTTAATATTGACTGGAAACCGCTTTTTTTTTTTTTAATCATAGTTTTCCCATAACTTTCTCCTTTCTCTGAGCAGCTCCAGGACGTGTGTGTTGTACTGGAGTGCGCTCAGGCAGTGCTCAGTCCCTGGATTAGCAAGCCCAAAGCAAGAAGAAAAATCTGATCTCTGCAAAACAAACCCTTGTAGAATTAACAAACAGGGACTACAATGATGCCCCCGGAGGCAAAAGGATGAACACAAAAGCAACGCTGCATGGCTCTGAAGAGCACATCCATGTAGCTTCAGCCAGCTCTTGGATACATGAAATCACAGAAACAATGCTGGGAGGGAAAATAGTACGATTTATACAGGGAAACCATTCATTTCTTTAAGAATAATGAATACTGTGAGCCTAGGATATGAAGAGTGCTTCTGCAAATAGGGTATTTATAGGAAAAATAGAGAAGTGGTCGAGGTCTGGAACTTCTTTCTCCCACACTCAGGGGGAGAAAGGCACTCAGTCACTTTGTTCTCCCTCCTGTTAGCATGAGTCCGGTTGGGAGGGCAGGGCCTGGGGGAACACTGGGGGTCAGCGATGGGAGAAGGCAGTGCCTTTGGAGGCCACCCCTCCTGCTCAGCTATCCATCCCACCCAGCAGAGCTTTGCAAACTATCAGAGGCCATAAAATC